CTTATATCCATTAAAGGAGCCATTGAACGGTAATATCATTGCATAGGCGATATCGCTCATTGTTAGCACGCACAAGTACATGTTGGAAGAACTTATCTTTCTACGGAAGAGCACAATGGCAGTCAAACAGTTTCCTAAAAGACTGAAAATAATAATAATCGCCAGATAGTACTTTTTGTAATTTGATAAGGTCTCCAAAGCATCTTTAAATGGATCTTTTTGCTCAGAAAGAAAATTAAATTTATTTATAACGTCAGTGATGAGAAAATGTCTGCCTACAATATCTTCGTTACATAAAACTTTGAATTTTTTAATTCTACTTATATTCACAAGTGAATGATTCATCATGTTTCGTCTCTCGTTGATATAATAGTGGAATATAAAATTCAGCCATGCTTCGCAAATTTTCGTCAAAATCTTTTTTGTTGTTGCAAACATGCAATCGTAGTTCGTGTATAGATATGTTGGAATAATCTTTGCCAAGATTTTTTTTCAGAAAACATCCTTGCATATAATTATGGATTGTTTGCAACAGATGCTTATGAGATCAAAGCAAAAAGTGATATAATCAAGTAGCGTTGCGCGCCTGAAAAAGCGTTATAATATTATTATATATATTATTTATTGAAATCGATGAATCTTGCACATCAATTTTATTTATCAATACATATGTTAAAATAATTTTTCTTACTATTAAAACAATAAAATATACGAAATATACAAAATTTATATAGTATCTTAAACATTTAAAATAAAATGGATTACACACTATCTCACTTACTTGAAAGTCGTTAAAAATTCTGAAGCCTACGAATACAAGGGTTACGAACTCTCAGCAATTCTTCGATTTCAATTGTACAACTGTTCAACACCAACGATTACAAAAGACTGAATGTCGAGATTGAATGTCATGATGATCATGTCATGGTGATTAACATAACGGGTTTGCAACATAACTATTCGCATAATTCCGAGAAGCCTTCAGACTATTCAATCAAAATGTGCATAGAAACGAACAATGCACATATAATAAAAATCTCTATTATTTTTTATAATATTTATTATAATAAATATATGATAAGTGTAGTAATAATCCATGAAAAAAATTCGATAGTTATATAAATAAGTTTATGTTTTGTTTTCTTTTTTTTTTTAAAAAAAATTTGAATTTTTTTCTTTAATAATCACAGGTTGGCCTTGTATTATGATTCATAATATAACAATTCAACTATTTTAATTGTTAAATCAACATTTCTTCGAATGCATAAGTCAGCTTCCATCTATACAGAACTGAGGAAATTACAATTCTTATAATTTTCTCTGTACATTGCATTATACATCTTCTTTTGTTTGTTATTTTTAATACCTTTTATACTTGTATAATTTCTCGTGTATCAAGAACTTCAGCGTTTCTTCGGAACCTTCTATCGTGCATCGTCATTTGTCGAACTGCATTTGGTCATTTTCTGAAACTGTAACAAAATGCAAAATTTTATCAAATTAAGAATCGTATCTTTTATTGCATTGATTTAATTACAAGAATTACGTAAAGAAAAAAACAAAAGAATTTTTAATTATTGTAATATGTGTATGTAATACCTCCGTGTTTTATCAATGTATTACCTAATTAGCATTTGATTGTTCACCAGTCATACTGTCACTCATAATTGTTTATTTCCATGATATTTTTATTCTCCCAAGTATCTTCGTAAGCATGCGGATTACCTCTTTGCGAAATTTTTGTCTATTCACAAAATAAAGAAAGCTTATTCCGTGATTTATGAGAAATAACAAATCGTCTATTTGTGACGTCAAATCAAACCATAGCGGTGTTTTATTCTGAATCTATAAATATAATTATATATTATCGTTATTGCTAAAAATGTACAGTATATAATATAAGTGTACAATTATATAGATCGAATTAATACAATATTATCGTGTTAATATAGTATTGTGACAGACAATGCATGTTAAATATGACGTCTAAATTTCAGAAATTGCAGGAAGAGATTTTTTTGGACTTTAAAGAAGATTTAATTTATGTTTTTTTGCAATACATATATATTAAGTATTGATACGTACGTAATAATTGCCAATGAACGAGCAGATGTAAATAGGTTTCAAGCTCATGAGTACGGTAGAAACGATAATAAACATTTCTGAGATTTTAATCTGCATTTTATTGCTAAAAATGTGAGTCTTCTCATCGGATGTTTTAATCAAGATCCTGCGGACATTATTTTGCTTGTAGACGTTACGCATTATTAGAGTACTGAAGATAATTATTATGATTAAAGGCAGAGCGAACAATATGTGTGTGATAATATCAGTGATTCTTAAAATCAATTCCCGTAACAACAAGTTCTCTGCATTCTTGTTCGCCGTATAGACGATCTTATATATCGTATCATTTTCTTGCGCGTAAACGTCAATGTCAATAGAAGAGAAGAATGAAAACCACGAGATGGTGTATGAAATCGCTAATCCAATTAGCACAATAATCACGATCTTCGCTCGATACATTGTGCACAAGGATTGATAACGAAGTGGCCACTTTGTCGCTATATATCGCTGAACGGTAAAAGCCGCTGTAAACCACACGCTCAGAAAGACAAAAAAGACTTGGAAGCTCAACAAATAGAACCAATAAATCGGATCGGTTATGTACATTACATTGAGCCAAGCTATGAGAAGAATTATCAGAACACCAGTGTCGTTTATCGCTAATGCACCCATGTAGATGCTGATAGAAGTGCAACGAAGCTCCGGGCGCAAAAGCACATACACGGACAGACAGTTGCCCAGCAGACCCAGACACGTGAAAATCGGTAGAAAGTACTGTCTGACGTCCAAATTAATTGTCACATCAATCGTATTTAATCCTATAGTTTTGTTCTCGACGTCCATTTTTGTGCATTAATTTTGAGTTGCAAATGTCGTTAATGAGAAGAAAAGCAAAAGGCGACATAAGCTTGAGCGTAGAGTGGATAAGAGCTTGCGTCACGCTTGATAACCTGGAAAAGCATTACAATGAACTATGTATATTAAATGTATATTTGATAAATAATATTGCATTAAAAAATGTTTATACGTTATCGTGTTATTCGCGTTTTTATGACTTGCGTTGACTCATTCGAAACGAAGTAACGAGAAATGCAAATGCGATTAATAACAGCATATATTTAAAAGGAAATATTTATATATGTTTTGATACAGAATTAAAAAATAATATAAATTTGCAGATACAATACAAACCAAATGTACCCAGTTAAACGTGAGGACGCTGAGAAGTTCATGCTACTTTGCTTATTTCTTAAAAAGCCTTAGTATTTATAAGTAGAAAACAGAAGTTCAGGCATGCGCAATAAATAATAATCATCAAGTTACATCAGTTAATAAATTTAAAAATTAAGAAACTAGATATTTGAAAAGGGTAAAGCAACACAAACAAACCAGAATGTGTAAAGTGACGATAAGATAAAATAAAACAGAAATAATACAAAAAATACATATTGAAGGATTAACTCAGACATGAAATTAAATTTAAGAACGAGTAAAAAATGAATGACTATTTCGATGGCTAAATTGCGTTTCGGTGACTTAATTTCTAAAAAAATTTCCGATTTTAATTTCTGTGCGAATTGTGACACATGTAAAATATTTGCACTTACGAATACGATGCTACGAAATCCCAGTAATTGTCCGATTTCACTGCCGAACACTGCCCAACAAATGCAAAAATGCACTTCAATACTAAAAGTCCAGATGGCTGACTTTGATAACAACACAAGTGTTTCATGGAAGTTTGTGGCTTACAAAATCGATTAAAGTATATCTCATATAAAAAGCACAAGTAAGGTCGATAAATTCCTGATTGAAGATTGTGTGTTGAGATTCATTGTCGCTGCTACAGTTTTTGGAATATCGGAATATCCTCAATACTCTCACGTCTCATTTGCTCGACGATCGAAACTACACTGAAGTCGACGTCGCTGTCGTATGACAAAAGTGCGCAAACTCCGATGGAACAGGTATCCCGACAAACTTGACAATTATACAGACTTAATAACTCGTTGCCCCTTAATAACACGCATGTATAAATACGTATGCACCGAAAAAATTGTATTCTCATTTTTAGAATATTTCACTAATATTTATATCTTCCTCTAAAATAAGAAGATCCTCTTAATTTAAGAGAAAATCCACTGAAGAATATCAGATATTTTTAACGGGTAAGAATATATGCTAAATGAATTAAAAACAGAATTTTTTTATTTTTTATGTAAGATATAGTGAACATAGTTCTTTTAGCATAATATTTATGTTTACATATAATATAATGACAACTAATTCTACTACTTTAATGTATTATTATATTATAATCTCTCGTGTATATCAAGCGTTTTAGCTTGACTTGAAAACTTTCAATTGTGCTTTTTTAACAAATACTTCGTTTTGTTGAAGTGCACGTATTGGACATAAATGTAAAAGCTGTAACAAAATGCAACGTTAATTTAATTATAAGAAATGTAATATCACGTACAAGATAGCACAAGAATTTTTATTAATGTTGTGCGTGTGTGTGTGTGCGTGTCGCCATGTTTAATTATAGCATTACCTTATTATAATCTGCATAACTTTGGGCATTAATTATATTGTTACTTATAATTCTTCATCTCCATGTTTCTGTTCTTTCTTATATTTGCACGTTTCGTAAACATGCGGATTAATTCTCTGCGAAAATTTTCTCCTGTTGCACAGTAGAGAATAAAGTTTATACTGTAATGCGCCATGTCTAATAATTGGAATATTTCGAACCAAAGTGACACATTACCATGTTCATATAGCATCTGGAAAAATTATCGTTGTTATTTTTGTTGTATACAGAGTGTCTGGCAATAATCGCCCCACCGGTCATATACAGGTAGAGGAGGTCAAATCGAGTAGAAAAGTCCTTTACCATTTTTTAATTTTCATAATAAGTACTGAGTAATTCACGAAAAAAGATCGGCGAATCCGCGCGAGTAAAGCGCGCGCGGTGAGAAGGACGTCCCACTGCTACGCGATCACTAGGACACAAGGATCTAGCGTTACGCGCCGCTCGTATGTTGCCATTGTCATTTGTAGAGCGCTCCTCCCAACGCTTCATCGCGCGCCTAGTGATCGCATAACAGTGGGATGTCCTTCTCGCTGCGCGCGCTTTACTTGCACGGATTCACCAATCTTTTTTCGTTAATTACTTAGTACTTATTACAAAAATCAAAAAATGGTAAAGGACTTTTCTACTCGATTTGACCTCCTCTACCTGTATATGACCGGTGGGGCGATTATTGCCAGACACCCTGTATATACGTATTATTCACTGAAATAAAAAAATTTTGTATAAAATTTTTATTTACTGATTTATTTTATTAAAATAAATTTTTTACTTAAAATATTAAATATTTAAAGAAAAATGTACTATTTTACTTGCCTGGGAGTCGTTAAAAATTTTGAAGCATCCGAATACGAGGCCAAAAAATCTCTTCATAATTCCTTGATTTCAGTCGTTCAACAACTGCTAAACTGCTAACTATTGCAAAATCCACCGAAACACTGAATGTCGAGACGACGGACTTCGATAATAATATTAATTCTTCCTGGAAGTTTGTGGCTTACCAAATTGATTAACATTTTGACTGTAACGGCTCATATCCGTTGACGTGTAAAATTTTATAAAAGCTCATTGTTCTACTAAAGTATTTATAATAACATTAAAAAATAACAATAAATTTTACTAAAATAACACATAAAATTGATTAAAAACAAAATTTTTTATTTTTCTCATATATGATATTACAGTAAATATAATTTTTCTATTAGTATAATATTTATAATTATACGGCAATTTTAGTTATTTTATATTACGTTATGAATGACTAAAAAATAAAAAATTTTATTTTGAACTGCTTAATTAATATTACATTTTTAATTTTATTAAGATTTACAAACTTGCATGTAAAATATTGTAAAATCTTTGCAATACATGTGTTTGCAAAATTATCGTATTACTATTTTGGGGAAATTATAATACTGATATTTGTTTTATATTGGAACAAACATTACTGGCGTAATCTAACAATAAGTGGTTAATGTATGCTCTCTCGTTTTAACAACTATTTTCAACACCAGATACAAATTCAATTTATATTGTTAATTAAGTATATCGATGAAAAATGGTCACATAATAGGAAGCAATATATACATGTGACAAATAAAAATTACAAGCATGCTTAAAAGCGTTAATTATATAGGATAAAATACATGTACACACGCAGTAAGTAAAATGAAAAGACATGTGCTTATATATCAATACATTGGCTAGTATAGATTTGTGATAAAATAACATGTAAATAAAACTCAACACATTTTTAGAACGTTCCATTTCTTCTTTGGAAAATATTCTTTAAATTAATAGACGTGTCATTTACGCAATATTGATGATAACAAATTGACATTGCATTACAATCTACGATGTGACAATTTAAATAGTAAATCAACACTTCTTTTAAGTTATACAGGCTCACATTAATTAAGAGAATTGATAAAACTGTCTTTTTTCTTTATGGTATGCTAAAATATGACAGTCCATACTACCTACATGTATGTGTATCATAGATTCTTATAATTGTTATTTTTGACTTACTCTTAACACTTTTAATACAATAACATATTTAAATATCTTATTTAGCTGTTTGCAGTTTATTACATTTTTATGAAGTTGTAATGTATATTATAATCTCTTGTGTATATCAGGAGTGTTAACTTCTTTTGAGAAACTTTCAATTGTGCGTTGTTAACAAATACATTGTTTTGTTTGAAGTGCGATTGGACGTAAATTTGCAAGCTGTAACAACATGCAAAGTATTATCAAATTGAGAAAAAATGATCTTATATTCTTCTTTTTATTTTCATTTAATTATAAAAATTACATAACAAAAATTGTAAAAAAATTTTTGAATAATGTAACATAAATACACACTGTGAAAAAATTCGTTAAATATACACAACAAAGATGTAAAAATTAAATGTTAAATAATGGAAATATACTAAAGTAAATAGTAAAAAAATTTAGGAAATTATGTAAATTTGCAATATATATTTAATAATTTTTTGTTATTTGTCATGTAATTTTTGCATCTACAGTTTTATTAATTAATCGACTCTTTTTACAGTATAAAACACAACATTTAATTAAAGTATTACATTATTATAACTGCATAATTGGGCATCAATCATACTGTTACTTATAACTGTCCATCTCCATGATTTTTCTGTTCTTTTTTATATTTATAAGTTCTATAAATATGCGGATTAGTTCTCTACGAAAAGTTCGTCCCGTTGCGCAGTAGAGAACAAAATTTATACCGTAATGTGCTGTGTCTAATAAATCGGATATTATATACATAACTGACACATTGACATATTCAGGAAACTGAAAAAATTATTATTGTTATTATTGTTATATATGTACAACTATTGATAATAACGTGTCATATTTTAATGCATCCATTTTCTTACGCGGATATCTAATATAAAAAAATTATTATTAAGTTCATTCATAATGTAAAAATTAAACAGGATAAATTATTTTTAAAAATTCAAATTTTAAGAGAAAAATTGATTAATATTTTTTGTCATATACAGAGAGAGAGAATGCATTTATAGAGTGAATAAACTATATATTACGGTCGGTATTGCTTGAATATTAATTATTGATACGTACGTAACTAATGTAAAAAATGTATTGTGCAGGTAATTTCAAGATTACGAATATACTCGAAACAAGAATAAGCATTTTTGTGATCTTATTCTGAAGTATTTTATGACTAGAAGTCTGAGTTCTCTCATTCGAAGAATTAAATGCTATCATCAAAGTTTTGCGAACCCGATTTTGCTGGTAAATGTTGTATCCTGTTAGAGTATTGCAGATTACTATCACGAGAGCAGGTAAAGTAAATATTATAATAGAATTTATAATATTCCTAGTCCGTGTAATTTCTTTCTGAACGTCAACTTTTTGATGTTTGTGTAAATCGTAGATATTTATAACATCTTTTATATCGTAGATATTTATAACATCTTTTGAATATATTTTATCATTATTATTTATGTGCACAAAAATAGCAAAGATATGTAGAATGCTACGTAAAATCGCTAGTCCCATCAGCGTGATCACTACGATTTTTGCTCGTTTAACAGTGCACCAGGATCGTCGTTGGAGCGGATACTTCGTCACTATACATCGCTCGATGGTAAACACTACTATAAGCCACACACTCAAGAACTCGGAAATAAAGCTCATAAAGTTCATAAAAATCATTAACCAAAACAAATCATTTTCTTTTGGTCTTATATCCATTAAAAGGAGCCATTGAACGAATAATATCATTGCATAGGCGATATCGCTCATTGTTAGCACGCACAAGTACATGTTGGAAGAACTTATCTTTCTACGGAAGAGCACGATGGCAGTCAAACAGTTTCCTAAAAGACTGAAAATAATAATAATCGCCAGATAGTACTTTTGTAATTTGATAAGGTCTCC